TAACCTATTATATCCCATAAATGCCACTGAGGGAAGAGCTTAGAACTAATATGAAAGCCGGTGGAAAGTTGTGGCGTGATTGGTTCTTTTATGATTGAGAACCTTAGTTCGTGAGGTAATTAAAGGGTTAGGCAGCTTCGACTGAATAGCTTGGTATTTGCGCGTTCCTAGCCCTAATTATTATAGTCTGGATTCTTTGGGACATTTTTTGAGTGGTAGGAAAGCGCCTAATTCGATTGAATTCAGCACTTAACTACCACTTAAGATTCTTGAAGTGGAGTGACTGACCTAGAAAACATCATCTAGGATCTCATCCAATTTTTAGTAGGGTTTTTCAGAAGGACATGTAGGTCTCTAAGGGACTATCTAAACTATGAGTCAATTTTTCTGGCTGTTACAACTGGATGGGCTAGCAGTGCAAAATAATCGATAAGTGGGACTTGTTGAAAAACTGGCAGTTTTGCTGTTTTTCATCCTCAAAGCTCTTTAAAATAGTAGTTAGAATGGAAATGGCGCAATCGTTTCGACACGGTACATATTGACCACGTTGCGTGCACCTCTTGACCGGTGTCACCGAAGGAGACTCAAGCAAACATCACCTGATCCGTGTGTTCTCGGCGTGAGGTGTATTGCCCTATGTCCCCAATATTGCAATTCAAGAGGCAACAGCATATCTAGAATGTTCCAGCAAAAAGGGAAGTACCCCATGTGAAAACTTGGTTCTGTCAATGAGGAACAAGTGTCTTTATGGAAACTGGTCTAGCTTGTGATTCTTGGGCTCGCCTTATTGCAGCTCTGTATGAGCCAGAGGTCCATAGAAGGATTAGGACCAGTTTTTCTACGAAGGATGGTGAACCATTTGCCACTGAGTGATCCGCCTTTAAGATGCGCCACGCATCTTACTCCCTTTCACAATCGTAGTAGCATTTGGAATGGATGGAGCGAGTTGTAGTGGCTTTTGAAAACTACTTACTAAACAGTGACTTATGGGCTTCAGCCGACGTAGAAGTCAACGTTTCTGACACTTGGAGGAAGGAAGCTTGATGACCTAGTCGGCGTGTGTTTAAGGTTCGATCTCCTGCTCTACTTCGATAACTTGCCAGTTACCACTGCCGGCCACGCAGCTTTATTAGTGGTTCAAATAGTGGCAGCAGTGATAGGTTAAAGGCGAACGAAGTGAAAAGAAAGAAAAACAGGATTCGCTGAAGGCGAAAGAAAGAGGGAGCTATCTCACCCAATACCACGGGTCGAACGTCAACATGTTGAAATATGGTTTCTTCTTTTTGCAAATGGAAACTTTTGCAATGTTTGTTTGGAAGGGAAAGACCACAGAAGGCCAAAAAAGATTCTGTATAATGAATTGTGCATTCAGAAAAACTTCTATGCTAAAGAAGTACCTCTTCTATTCTGGAGAGGTACTTCTTTAGCATAGAAGAAGTTCTTCTTCTCTTCCATTCTGAATTCCTGACGATACTTGCAGTGCTCACCCTTTGGGGATTCATCGGCTCTGAGCGTTTAGCCTTCTATCTTTTATATTTTTTTCGTTCAACCGGCCCCGTTCTAATAATATTGCACTGAATAGATTTAACATTTTCTCTTGACGATGGAATATGCAGTAAGTCAGATGACTGGAATCAATCAGGGAGTATCTTACTGAACTGTCCAAGTTTTCAATCGAAATGCTGCATTTTCTTTTAAATTTTTTCTCTTTTTTTCTTTCCTCTTCCTTTTGCTGCCTAAAAGAACCTGGAGTCCTTTTTTCTATGATGCTACAAAATCAACTTTTTTCACCAGTCAGTGAGACCGATGAGTCACAAGTGGATGTCGAAACGGTGGTGAAAAATTGTAGGCGACAGCTGACCTGAGAACTTGAATCATCCAGCGGTGTGGCAATCAGGTCTGAGAGTATGCCCGTCGTAGTGGAGTGATACTAAATGGGGCCTACATTCGTGCTAATCTATTGGGGATCTTTCAGTTCTCTGGCTACATTTTGAGACGAGAATTTTTGTACGGAAATCATTATATGGAGGGTGTGAGGGGGTGTGACTGTGCTAAGTGAGTTACACCCTGAACATATTTTTCTGCTATCAATAGGTGTGGCGGTTTGCAGTCAAGTTTCACATTGTGTTAGTCAGCAATGAGTTATTGCCACGAACCGTGCCATCATTCATTGGTAGAGGAGTACGAAGGAAGAGGTCCACTCCCACTAATGTTCTGATCGATCGTAAGCGTGAATCAGGATTCGGTCATTTATCTTCGTAAACGTTTGGGGACGTAAACTTTCACAACCACACTGTTCAACTTTCACTCAGGTTGAGTTGATGGACACCTCGAAACTAGTCTTGAAATCTGACCGGCCACGGCAGGGATACTGCGATAGGGCTCAGGTTGCCTCCAGCAGGGTGTTATGATCACCTCTGCAGGGGTGTTGTGTGAGCTGTTTGGCTGTGAAAAAGGTGTAACACCTCTTGTTCAAAGCTGCAAAAGTTGATGAAGTAGTTATGTTCAAGTGATTTCTTACAGATAAAAATTGACCGGCAGTGGCAGGAATACTGCGGTAGGACTAAGGTTTCTTCAGTAAAGTGTTTATAATAGATCCATCCGTTTCACCCATTTCTCTTCTGTTATGGAAGAGTGGGGTAAATAGTCAGCCGTATCAACGCTATTACCCTCGCACGGGAACGGGCCCTCAGTAACTTTTTTACCTCAAGGATATTTGTGAGTAGAAATTTGCGGAGACTGGTTGATATCATCGATGGCGCTAGTATTTCTGGGTCAGTAAAGTAAGTAGTTTTTCCAAATTGGTTGGATGGGGTTTTGTTGAGAAAAATGGACCCAGCTATGTTTCCATCGGCTCGTAGAAATTTTAGGGATAGATGGCTTGCATTATTTCATCCAAGCAAGCTTTGTAGTAAGTGAATTTCAGCCATTGAAGAAAGCAGCGTTTGGCAGCTCACCATCACGCCTGAGCTTTGAAGTGATTGAATAGAAAGGCGTCCATTAATGGGTATTTTGGAAGTGCAGGTTCGATCCCATCCCTTGGTAGTTTTTGTCCATAACCCTGCATCCTTATGATAATATTCGCGTGGTGAACTCTGGCCAGAAACAGCAGCTAACAAATCGAGGATAATTCAGGAATTATTTGTGAAAGGATGTTTTTCATGAGTCCCATTCGAAAGACGGTTTTGTAAAAGTTAATTTCATTCACTTATAATTTACTAGTTTTGTCTTAATTGTTGTGAAAAGAAATGCATAGTTTTGAAAAATGATTTTATCAAATATCTGAATCCTATCCGGAATGCCTGCAAAAATCCGTAGCAAGCGATGTGTAGCAGGAGAGGCCAAAAAGCCTTATGAGCAGGACGCTAATCTAATTATGACGATAACCAGAGGGATGACAGGGGGGAAGAGACAACATTCAAGGGAAGGCTAAACATAGCAGAACAAGGGAAGTCATAAAGAAACACAAATGAAAGGCAATACGACATTAAATGCGCTCGTAATTACACGGCAGTTCAATGGCAATTAAGTCGAAAAAAGTAAAAGCATCTCATGCATGAAGCACAGGGGATGGCGATTAGCATCGGATTAGCATTAGGGTTTCTCTTTGAGGTTGCCCTCTTAATGGGGAAGTTTTCTATAGAGGGATGATTTAGTGAACCAGTTTGATGCTCATTTCAGAATCCTGAACTGCTGAAAATGTTTGGATTCTGCCTTATAGTGCCTTAATAGGTTGCTATCCTTATTCTTGCGTTCTCTGAACTCAAGCTGTGTAGTGAATATATGGAGGAGAGTTGCCGAGCAGCGTTCGTTTTCTCGTTTAGCTGCGCTGAATGGGAAACCAAATTTGGTTTCCACATAAACGGTGAATAGATGGCATGACGACGATGAGAACCTCTCTGGGATAAGAAAGGGAGAGAGAGTGGAATACTACGGGGATCGCTGATATTTTGAATACCGGAAAAATATGGAGATAATCACTTGTATCAAAGCTATATTTTTCAGAATCGCCTTCTTGCTGCTTTCCTGCCTCAGCACCTCATCACCGCAGCTCGACTTCAAATAGCCACCAGCAATCCTCACATCTATGCTGAACACTATCCACAGGTAGGATTCGAGATATTGATGGCAATACATTTTTATTTATTTATTTTTAATTCACATTTATATGTCCAAACATGACATTTTGTCGATTGAGCTACAATTCTTTTTGAATTCTATTTTTTGGGTAGAAATCTAGAAATTTCGGTTTGAAAAAGTTCCCATCTATGTAAGAAGAGTGTTCTATGAAAAACCAAGGAAGCAGAGTAAGTTGGACGGAAGTATAATAGTTTATTTAAAGTTGTTTTGGGTCAAACCCCTATGGGCCCACTTGAAAACCTCGCTTCCTCGATTTTTTCGCAGTGTAGGATATCCAGTAATTTTGGATAGCAATCTTATAGTCAACACTTGTTCTTCATAATGTTAAGGATCTGTGAATAAATAAATAATACAAAATCAATTTCAAAAATGGGCTATGGGATATCTTAAAAGTTTTCCTCTCAACCTAATACATCAATCGCAAACCCTTTTAATGTTAATCAAATCTCGTTATTCTCGACCATGTGAGCGGAAGTGGTGTAGTGGCAAGTGGCGCGCTTACCACGCGCGGTCCGGGGATCAAATCCTGGGTCGTGAGTCGCCAACCAAGCCTTCCATCCCTCCGGGGTCGGTTAATTGGTACCAGACTTGTCTGGGAGGATAAAAACACTGACTTGTACATCGGCTGGCCCCCGCAAGTCATTGTATAGGCCACATCGCATTCAAACGCCACTACGAATGTACAAATGGAAGTAGAATGCGTGCCGCATCCCAAAAAGGGATTGATCAACGGCAAATGCTTTATCCTTATCCTTTTACCCTTTATTTCTCGGCCATCGTTCCTTTTATGCTTTTTCGTTGAGGCTTCTTTTCGCTTTTTCGTTCGAGAATTTTGACGGGAGTCAAGTTGAGGATGAACACATTTCGCGCTCTTGACGGAGCTTTCTCATTGTGATGGCATCGCAATAGACCAACTCTATTTCAAGCCAATTTTTTTTGGTTGGTGGTCCACCCAGCCCAGTATCCATTCCCTCCTTGGCCTTATTTGAAAAGTCTATTTCCTGGGTCGGCATCGTTTCTAGGTTCATTGCAAGCCGATTTAGCTGCGCTCCATCTGCGGCTGCGCCCAGCCTTTAGTGTTAGAGGTTAAGAGCATAATGAAGCACCCTTCAACTCCATTTCGCACACTTTTCCTTGAACATTTCACATCATTCCGAACCTAGGATCTATGAGTTTCATGAAATGATCGTAACTCTGATTGTTTAGGTTACGGTAGCATACGGTCGTTTGATCGGTTTTGAAGCTGTCCTGTCCCAGTGTTCCTCATTAGATGCAGCACGAGTTCTAAAGGTTTGCAGTCACTTTTAGAATTTACTCAAAACCCAGAATCTACCTCCTTTTCAGGAATTTGATTTACGTATTGATCGGTTATGTGATTTAAATGGTTGCACAAAGGTTGCTTCAGAGGGCATAACGGTCAAGACTACCCACACACGATCCTTGCCATGCGTTGAATGTGGTGCGATTTGCTTCACAGCTTGAGGCGCTTGTCAGGTGAGCTCCAGCGATTTGTCAGTAATTATAGATGTTTCCATGTATCTTTCCCGCGTGTAAAAATGCTTTTCCAGGCCGCCTTGTAGAAAACCTCGGGCGGAAAAACTTTGCTGTTCTGAATAATTTTTGATGTTGCGACCATCTTCATATTTTAGCTCATTTCGTGATGCTACCACAGCCGATGTAGCGGTTTGCATAGGGATCGATAGTGGATCGATATCAGCTGGAGTTGTTGGATCGACAAAATGGCATTACGATGTCATTCGGAATCACAGTGGACAATGCGATTCTTCTGCAAAGCAATGCTCCAGCACAGTGAGTTATTGGTTGAAAAGGACAGTCGAAGCTGTTGTATTTGGATATCGGGTGGACTATTCTATAGATTTGGAGCGCTGAAATAAAAGGATAAATCGGTCGGGTCGATGTCATTATTTGGGATGCGCAGTGCATTCTACTTTCCTTTGAAATCGTAGTGGCATTTGAGCGGTTAAGACAATGACCTGCGGTGAGCCAACCGATGTATAATACAACTCTGTATACCCTCGAAGTCTAGTACCAGTGAGCCGGTCGTGGAGGGATGAAGTTCTCCATTGGTAAGGGCGGGATTCGATCCGGAACTTGACTCTTGGACCGGGTGGTGACTGGGCCCCTTTCCACTTCACAAGTTCCATCCTAACATTTGGACACCAACGTTATGGCCCACACTTAGTGTGAAAGCGGATGTTTGTTTGTGGATTAGAATAACTGTTTGTGGATTAGAATAACCCTTACAAGGGAGGTCTTTCAGGGCAAGGTGCGCTTTTTGGAAACGGTTTGCATATTGTAGGGACGCATGTATGGACCACAAAACCATGTTTCGTTTTCGCTGAACGGTTTTAGTAGTACCAAAAAAGTGGTGAATAATACCCTTGATGGTTCGATCCCCCGCGGCGACTAAATTTTGCAATCAAGGTTGGCGGCCACTTGTTGGCTTCAAAATGGTCCTGACGATGAATTTGACATCTGATTTTGATATTTAGCGCGATTTGGCACCAAACCGTAGGCGCCAACCCAAATGCTAGTCGCCACGGGGGATCGAACCCTTAACAGTACCTTATGCTTCTTTTTTGGTACTGCTATAACCGTTCAGCGAAAATGAAACATGGTTTTGCGTTCCCTACATGCGTCCCTACAATATGCACAAAACCGTTTTGAAAAAGCGCACCTTGCCCTGAAAGACCTCCCTTGTAGTGAGATTAGTCGCTACCATTCAATCTCATAT